TGATAAGCTAAGGTCAGATAGAAGCAGAGGAGGTCCTCCCTTATCAGTGTACTAGTGGAAGGGCATAGGGGAAGAAGAGGGAAGGGGCTGCAGCAGGGATATAAAGTAAATAAATTATAATAAATAAATAAATAACACTAAATTTTAAAAAAGAAAAAAAGAGAAACTTCCAGCAAGCTTGTGTAAGACCATGAATTGTTCTAGTTTGTGCTTATTTATAAAAGTCTTTACCTTTCCACTGATCTTAATAGTTACCATTATTGGATATAGTAACATTGATTGGCACTTAAGTTTTTTCAAGATTTCAAATACGTCATTCTGATTTTTCTGTTTTTAACATTTTAGTGTAAATTATATGATTGGAAGTAAGTTAAGTTACTCCTCCCAGCTCCTTCTCACTTCCCCTTCCGTCCAGATCTACACACTTTCTGTTTATTAGAAAACAAACAGGCATCTGAGGAAGAAAAATAAAATAAAATGCAATAAGATAAAACACAAACAAACAAATTGGAATAGGATAAAAAGACCAAGTGAGAAAAAGAGCCAACAACAACAACAACAACAACAAAAAAGCACAGAAACACACATTCATCTCCAAAAACAGGAAATGCCATAAAAACACAAAACCAGAAGCCATAATGTATATACAAGGACCTGTTAAGTTAAAAAAGAATATTAACATTATGAGACAAAGATGCTCCAAACATGCTGTTGGCTGCTATCATGTTTGCCATCTACTGTTGTTCATGGGGCCTACCCTTAAGAGTTTTGTTTTTCCGGTAAACTCTTTAGAAGAAAACTGAAATTTCATTTGCAATAGGCTATCAGTTGGAGATAACTTCTGGATTAGGGATGGGGACATGTGTTCATTTCTCCTTTCAGCTCTAGATCCCCATCTAGGGCAGACCTTTGCAGGCCCTGTGCTGCCAGTCTCTCTGAGTTCATGTAATTGCCACAGTCTCTCTTAGTTCATGTATTTGCCAAACCTGTTTGTGTAGAAGGCCTTGATTCCCTGGTGTCCTCAGTCCACTCTAGCTCTTAAGCTCTTCCTGCCTCTTCTACAGAATTCCTTGACCCCTTCAGGTAACGATTCGATGGAGACATCCCTTTTAGGGCTGAGTGTTACAAGTTCTCTCTCTCTCTGCACATTGTCTCTGTATTTGTTCCCATCTGCTGTAGGAGGAAGTTTCTCTGATGATGGCTGAGCCAGGCACTGATCTATGAGTATGACAGAATATCATTAGGAGTTATTTCATTGCTATGTTCCCTTAGCAGAACAGCAGTATATAGTCTTTCCCTGGATCCCCAGGCTATCTATTCTCAGTTTCTTGGCCATCCAAGCAGTATGGGGAATGGGTTCCATCTCAGATAGATACTGATTTGTTACTCCCACAAGATTTGTACCACTTAATCATAATTCTGATTGGTTTAATTTCATAAATGATTTTTTTTGTTTTGTGATTGTCTATTAGATTAAACATGCAAATATATAAATGCCCCCAATATTTAACAATTATCTTTTTCTTGTAGAGATACTCCTAAAACTATTTACTTATTTTTGGTAGCCTTTTCGATTGGGATAAGATCTTGGAAATTCTTGGAAATATTCATCCAGCTTTTATCCAACAATCTTTCATGAAAACACACTTTATCCTTCAAGAGAGCTGCCCCTTCATTGAAGTAAACCACTAAAACTAAGAAATGTTTTTTTTTTCTTTAGAGGATTAGTCAAACTAGCTGTGTAGCAACAGCACAGATTTAACTTGTGTGTATCTGTGTGTGTGTGATATTCCTGTGTATGTTTGGGTACACATGCAAATGTGTGTGCAGGCATGTGGAGGCCTTGGTATTGATCCTAAAGAAACATCCATATTGGTGTTTTGGGGACAGGATGCCTCACTGGGACCCATGGTTCACCAATTCAGTTAGGCTGATCAGTGAGACTCAGGGAGTCACCTACCTCTGCCTCTTCAGTGCTAGGTTTGCAAACACATACTCTGTACTCATTTTTTTACATGGAATTTTGGGATTCAACACAGACCCCCATGAAGATACAACTGATGCTTATTCACTGTGTTATTTCCCTAGCTCTTAATTTATTTTTGAGTCTCTGTAGACAAATGAAGAATAATCTATGTAGGGTTCTGAATCATTTCATGTTCAGAAAATGAGTAAAACATATGAGGAAAAAGCTAATAGTGAAGGTCCTGTTTAAGATATAGATTCATATTCTGCAATGCTGCCAGTTTCCTGTTGCCAGTCCAGAGGGTGATTTCCAGGGTTTGTGACATATTAATGCTTTAGAAGATTTATCTTTCATTTTATTATAAAATAAGTATATTTTATACCTTTTCTAAGGTCTTCCCCATTATTTTATTATTTTTAAAATAAATGTGCTGCTCTTTTTTTTTACTAATCATATTCTAAAATCTGTACGTTTTTATTACCTGAGGGTCTTAAGAGCAACACTCATTTGCCTTTGTTTCATTTCTTCCTCAGAGAGAACACAGAAACAGAAGTAGTGAGTGAGCACAGAAACAGAAGTAGGGGTTAATATATTTATTAAATGAATAAGCTACACTATAAAATTGAGATTTATACCAAGTCCCACTTGTAGTCAATTGTTTTTCTTATATTTCTTAGATGTTTTATCTTTTCATTAGTCATGCTCACCATTTTAACCCTTGTTTGAATATCAAATACTCACTTCTTATTGTTAAAATTGACTAATATGCATCATTGTATATCTTACACTGGATTTTCTTAGCATTAATGAATTCTGCAACTCAGTTATGATCCTGAGAAATTTCTTTAAGAATTCAATATGAATTTTTAAGATCTGCAAGAATTTATAAATTACCATGCCCCTGTAAATGTTCACATTTAATTTCGTGAAGTTGCTAGGTCTCTGTAAAGTGGAATCTATTGGTAACAAAAAGAAGGAGAAAAGGGGTGAGTGAGAGAGAAAGAGAAAGAGGAAAAGAGAGTGGAAAGGAGGGAGGGAGGCAAAGAGAGAAAGGAGCTTTTTTAACCAGCCTGCACATGCCCCCTTGGTTTTAAAATATCTCTGTAAAAAGTACATATTTTAGTAAAGGATATTTTAGCATTTTAATGCATTTGTTCTATTTTCTGCAAAATAAGTGTTATCTTAGAAGTAGCATCTAACATAGGAATAAACACAAGCATGTCTGTTATGTGATGACAAATGTGCACTCACATACAAATAACACGTATGCTCACGTACAGACACCCTCCCCGTGAGGTTTTCTCTAAATAACCAGTTTAATGCTGTCTTCACAGGATGTACCAAGGGAGTGTCAAGCTGGCTGGACGCAGCCTCAGTTATAGGGCTTGATTATAGGTGGCAGAACCTATGGAGCTTTTAGAGTCAGGCTGGAAGTTCTCTTATTAGACAACCAATTAAAATAAATTGTTTTGTATCATCCTTCAGCAATCATAGCTTCCATAAATAATTAGGCAGAAAAGATTATAAAAAGTTTATTTGAAATAAAATGTGCCAAAGATTTTCCAAGAGTCATTTACATTTTCAAATCCTTTTCTGTCAAAGGAATTTGCTTTAATTCAGTTTTCATTATTTTATCTTAGTGCGAAAAGTTGTCATTGTGGCGTCTTAAACGTCTTTCATCGCCAGGTATAAGGAGTTAGCTTTACAGGGAAGCCATGACACACAGGTGATCATACCCAACCAAGCTTTAGCTACACTGAGAGCCCATAAAAACTTGGACCATTTGTGCTGTAGGTTATATTGATTGCTGTGGCAATAGATTTTAATTGAGTCTATTTAATTTGTCCTTTTTGGTGATAGTGGCCGTGTGTGTGTATGTATGTGTGTGTGAATGTGTGTGAAAAAAGAGAGGCAGACAGAAAGAGAATCATATAGAAGAGAGACACACAAAGACAGAGAGCAAAGACATAGAGAGAATATGAATCTGAGATCCTTCTGTCTCCAGATGTATTGATATTAATGTTTAGTCTTTTATTTTTTTGCAAACCAGCTCTTTTCCTCTTTTCCATCATTAACTTTTAATGTATTATTCAAGTATAGCAACTGAGCTTTGTGTTACTCTAAATACATAATGCTCGCAGTAGAAAGTTGGTAAGTTTCTAATGAGTCGTGAGATTGCAAAGGTAGATGAGAAGACTGTGTGGATTCATCAGCTCACCTTCTCTGTGGAGGAGATATTTCTTCTTTATGTAGACAAAACATTTAAAAATAAAATCCACCATTAAAACTGTTTGTAACTCTGACGGCCTCACTTGAAAACAAATATTTTAGTTCTGATATTCAACACCCAAGAACAACATTGGATATTTGTATAGGAATGTAATTTGCCAAATAATTAGGATGGCTACTGTTTTTACAATTTTTGTGCCGTAGCCTACAAATTTAATGTTAGGACTGACTTTTTCTTTCTTTCTTTTCTTTTTTTTTTATTACATTTCCTCCTTTTATTCCATAGGCAGGTTATAAAGAATTATTCTGACTTTTTCTATAACACACTGACTTTGCAGACATTCTAAGCAAATACTATTTTTCTAGCTCCATACTGCTCTTTTATTCATACGGTACTCCAACTTCCTTCACACATTCCTATATGCTATAAACAACCAGCTTCAAGGAGACTTCGTCAGAGAACATCCCCAAGCCCTTCTTTCCAGGTTCCTCTGCTCTCAAGGTACCTGATTTCTCACTAATACAACTTACCACACCTATAATAAAGTAGTTAACCCTGTAACTAATTTGACATATTCCCTCTCTTAGTTAGCCATAATACGTTGAGGCAATGTTCATACGGTTTTTCCCGAGAAAGTAGAAATCCATACTAACAAATACTAAACACTGTTAAGCCGTATCTATGTAACAGGACGTTTAAATGGGTCATTTCCAGTTTCCTTTGCAGTTGAAAAGCAAAGTTATGGCGTCCCAGTCAGGCACACTCGGGATACAGACTTCACACAGCACATCTTCATTGGTTGCACTAGATTCCCGTGCGCTGTCTAATCCAGTCACGGTAGGCCGTCACTCGAGTGTACACTCCTGGCTTATTGGGCAGGCCGCACTGGTACCCCCAGCTCACAATCCCCACAACAAACCAGAGCCTCCGAGAGTCTTCTTGTACTAACGGGCCACCAGAATCACCCTGCAGAAAACAAGAGCAAGTGATTATTTAAATGCAAAAGCAATCGTACAGAAGTCTGAGCCATTATGCCAGCCTATACCAGCCTACCAGTCTTCTTGAAACATTCCAAGCCAGGAAAAAAAATTACTGAAGTCCTTCAAGTTTACAAGTAAGGCTGAGAAGATGGAAAGTTCATCAGCGAGCCTCCTTCAGTTGCTTCCTGGTTGCTTCCTAAACTCAAGCTTTCCCCCCTGGGAAGCCTTCTGTGACCCGCTGCTTTCCTTTGTACTTCCCGCTTGGGGTGCCAATGGTTTCTTTTAGGCTGTGGCATTCATGGAACTGCTTCTAAAGGTCTGCTTATTCCCACTGGCCAGCTCTCCTTGTTTAGCACTCCGTATATCTCGATACTTGGCCTGAGTCCTTGTTGGCAGTGCCATAGTTAAGTCAGTCTCTCAGGGAAGGGACCACCCTCGTTCTGGACACTGCTGCAAGCTTGGTCTCTATCCCATAGAAGATGCTAACGAAATACCTTTTTAGTGAATGAATTTATAGATGTGTCGCTCACCTATCTTTACTACCTGGTATGAGGCCTGATGCGTAATTAGTCATCTATCAGTATTCTTTTTGTGAATAATTGAAAAGAAATTTTTACGCAGTAAGCAGAGCATTTCTTTTGAGTCATTTACCAGGCAATGGCAATAACTGAAAAACACCTATCCATGTTATCATCCAGTTAGGGAGATGCTTTTAGAACGTACTGTATTATGGGTTAATTCTGTGACTTCTGGAGGTAGATAGCCCGAGTTTGAGTCCTCCACCCACGAGCAATGTGAACTCCAGGATGCTCATTAACAAATCTGTCCCGGAGTTTTCTCATCAACAAATGGTGCTTTTCTGCGTTGAAGTGAGCTTAACACACAAAGCACTTTGGGCACAGCTTGGCGTATAGTCAGTGCTAATAAAAGCCAGCTATTATTACCAAATGTATGTCTAGAAAAGTTAGCCATTCATTTGTCTGCTCTTAGTAGTTAGGTTTTCCATACCTATTTAATTAATGGCTGAGATGGAGAGAAAGGTTAGTATGTGAATCACCAACTTGCTTGACCAGTACTGCACAGAGCTGGCTGTTACTTTGTGCTTTTGGATGAGGCGTTCACGCTGCGTTTGTCTAGTTCTCAGCATTTTGTTGTTATTATTATTTTTTTTAATGCTATTTGTTCTGTAGTGGCAAAGTTTTCTGTATCGTATCTTATCCACCGCAGACAAGCAAATGCCAACCACGAGTGCCATGTAACATATTGTACTGGTTAGTTTTGCTCCCTAGCTTCCGATGTTTGAACCTGTGTTCCTTTTTCTCAACCTGATGAGGACAAGGACCAACCAGTTGCATTACCATGAGGCATGTTACACAGAAATGAGAATAGATATAACTTTGAAAGAATGTCTGAACTTGATCTTGTAAACTTCTTTGTAGAATATTATTTATTTATCACATTTTTGAGACATGAACTCCGTGTGTCAGAGCGTTTCCAGTAACAATCTGGAGTGGAAGAAGGGAAAATTTCACGGTAGTGATGGCATGAACCTGCCTGAAGAGCAGACTTTGTTTATGTAGAAGCTGATGGAGAGAGTGAAACCAAAAGGAACATTTTGTATGTTATCTCCCCAAGCTGTTGTAAGCCATATTTCAGTAGATCTAAAATTGTCAACCTGGGTTGTTAGCTGACTGATGAGATCTTTAGAAAATTTTCATGAAACTTGAAAATTTGTTGTTGTGGAAGGTGGGCAAGGGTTCCACACCAAAGAGGCTTCTCACTTAAAGGAAACAAAAGAAGAGTGGATAATTGACAGTGTCTTGAAAATTGATAAAAATATCCACTTTATATAAATTAAAATAGGTTAAAATGATTCATTTGGGGAAACCAATTCTGGTTTGGGTTCTTGGTAATCTGTGAGTACCACTGTTTTTCTACTTGTTCGAGAGGGTATATGACCAAATAAAAGTTAATAAATAGTATTGAATGTGGACAATAACCTTTATGTTGCATATAATTTATCAAGGAAAGCAGTAGCGTATTCCTGAAAAGCTAGATTATTTATAATGATGGTTACTTTCACACTACTTGTTCCTCTGACTACATTGGCTTTAGTTTTAGACAAAAGCATAGACACTATTAAATTTCATTAAACTTTCAGTGTTAAATTTTATACTAATCACTATAAGGAGATAATTGTACACTTACTATTTGATTTTGAATATTTAATTTAAAAATTACAGGCTACAGACAAATAGTTTCTTTTCTTTTCCCCCCTTTCCCTCTTTTTCTCTCTTCGTTTTCCTTCCCCTCGTCTCTCCTTTTCTTTCTATCCCTATTCTGCTATTATACAATTTAGGATTTCTTGCCCTTCAAATAATTAAGATATTGAATAATTTTTCTATTTTTAAGATAGTTTAAAAATTAGATTGCTTGGTGGTTGCATGTTATAATGTTTTTATTAATTGGACTGAGAATGAGTAGTGTTTACAAATAAAACAGTATATGTTAAAACTTTATTATTTATAAACTTTAAATGACTGATTATTTTTATTGTAAGTTGATGATTAAATACATTTATAATATAGAAAATGTTCCTATAATTTATGGGTACCATACTGGATACTAAAATCAAGCTAACTAACATTTCTACTGCTTCAAAAACTTAACATTGTTCCTTGTGATAAGAACATCAAAATTTATTCGCTCCCAATTTTGAAATACAGAATACTTCATTAATAATTTTATCCACTATGTTGTATAATATGGGTTTGACCATCCAAGGCAATTAGAAATTAATTTTTTCATGACAGATAAAATTCAGAAAAGAATTTTATCTCTAAAATTAGGGGCATCAGTTTTTTGAGGAGCAGGTTGGTTGCTGTAACTGTGGCTGTCTTTATGCCTCTCACAGGGTGATGCGCTTGAAGAAGCCTATAAACTTCTTGATGGTGACACTGATGAGGTTGTTACCTGGCATGCATCCACTGCACCTGAAGGCACTCCAGCACACAGCATCCCAGGCAAGACGTTTCCGCCATAGCTGGCTGGTTCATTGCATACATCATTGCTTATTATTCTGACCTGTCCTTGCCGTAGATGTGTGACTGTGTTTCCTAGTTAGTATAGAAACAGAAATGAAACAGAACTCAGAAAATATGAATTAATGACTTGATGCTGAATTTGAGTATAAATACTCTAAACATTATCTACTTTGAAAGACAGGTGCCAGAAGATGCAAGAGCAAATCTGAGCAAAGATTCTTGTAGCAGAGAATGAATAACTTCTTTAGGGAGACAAGTATTTTTTTTTTTTTTTTTGAGTTTGTGATATATTTTCCTTTATCCTCTTAGAGTTAGGAAATAAATTGTTGGGTCTGGTGACACATGCCTGTAATCCCAACAAGTAGGAGGTAAATATAGAAGGATCATGAATTCAGGTTCAAATTTAGCTATGTATAAATTTTCTATCTTTAGGGTTCTTTAAAAAATAGATATTTTTGGTGATTGCATTTATTTTTATTATTTTTAATTATTAATTAATTTTATTTTATTAATTGCATAATATTTTATTATTGCATAGTATAGACTTAGAATGAGCAGTGTTTACAAATAAAACAGTATAGTTAAAACTTAATTGTTACTTATGAACTTTAAAAGACTGATTATTTTATTGTGATTATTATTTTTAAACATTTACAAGACAGCAAATGATTCTGGGCTACCATGAGAATCCATCTCAACAAACAAGTAAATAAAAACCTAACCCAATGCCAACAATGACAATGCCCTAATACTTATGTTAAAATTGATGCACGGTAGGCATGGCGACACATGCCCTTTAACCCCAGCACTTGGGGTGACAGAGGCAGGCTGTTCTACAAAATGAGTCCAGGACGGCCAGGACTGTACAGAGAAACCCTGTCTCGAAAAGCCAAAAAAATTTTTTTGACTTATACTGTTTAAACTGTTCACTGATGAATTTTAAATTAGAGAACTATATCAGTGAAAATTTAGCAGCAAAAGAGAAACTAGTCTGATTTTAAAGTTGAAGAACTAATCTATGACATCCATGATCCCTTCAGAACAGCACTGACATGAATTTTTTTCATGTTTGCTATAAAAATTACCTATTACATCAAGTGGCTTGGGTCAAAAGAACACAATGAAATATTTCTGAAACAACTAAGGCATTTTTTTTAATTCCCTAGAGAAATAATCAGTACCATGGTTGTAATAGCCCAAGGAAATTGACGGTGTTTCTCTTCCATTGCTCACCATTGCTTGGTTGTAATTATTCTTTCAAATTGTGCTTATTTTAATTTAAATTTTATTTATTCAGTGAATAAATATGATCAATTTTTATCCATACATAGAGTTCCTTGCTGTGGCTACAGGATTCATTTCATCCCAGAATAACTTAAAGGCAGTACCTGAAGGGTTATTAAAGCCCCAGATCATAATCTTAAGTCCCCCTTTCTTCACATGAAAGCATAGACTTTCTATATTAATAAGGATCTTCTTGAAGGGACTCTTGCCAGTCCAAGCATGGAGAGCATGGCTCTGGCAGGCCTTGCCCTACTCCTCTACTCCCTCTGACTTGTTAAAAACCTTTAGAGTCTTCCTGAAGCTAGCCCCCAAGGTCCATTCCCTTATTCAGCCACTTTCTCCTCCTCAGGATGATCACCAAAGTCCAGCTATCAAAGCATGGAAGCACAGCTATCAAAACTCCCCCTTTGCCTCCTTAATTAACATGCTCAAAAAAGTTAACCAATTCATTCCAACATGGGTTTTCCCATTTTACTTTTTTTTTCTTCAGTATACTTTAATTACCCACTGCAAACATTAAATTAACTTTTATCTTACAATAAGTTAAACATTTTTTTTTCAGTCAGCCCTTCTCAGCCATTTCCCCACCTCCTGTCACATGCGGCAATCATAGAGAAAGCAGCATAATTTTCATCTACTTTCTTTTTTATTTTTATTAATTACAGTTTATTCATTTTGTAGCCCCCTGTAGCTCCCACCCTTTTCCCCTCCCAATACCACCCTTCCTCCCCTTCTCTACCCAGATCCCTCCCCAAGTCCACTGATAATGGAGGTCTTCCTCTCCTTCCTTCTGATCCTAGTCTATCAGGTCTCATCAGGAGTGGTTGCATTGTCTTCCTTTGTGGCCTGGTAAGGCTACTCCCACCTCAGGGGGAGGTGATCAAAGAGCATGCCAATCAGTTCCTGTCAGAGACAGTCCCTGTTTCCATTACTATGGAACCTACTTGGATACTGAGCTGCCATGCGCTACATCTGTGCAGGTGTTCTAGGTTATCTCCATGAATGGTCCTTGGTTGGAGTATCAGTCTCAGAAAAGACCCCTGTGCCCAGATTTTTTGGTTCTGTTGCTCTCCTTGTGGAGTTCCTGTCCTCTCCAGGTTTTTCTATCTCCCCCTTCTTTCATAAGATTCCCTGTACTCCACCCAAAGTTTGGCTATAAGTTTCAGCATCTGCTCTGAGACCCTTTTACTTTTATAAAGCTTTAATTGTGTTTCTTCTTTATCCACAGTCCTTTGTCCCTCTGACACAAATACCCATTCCCCTTCTCTTTTGTCCTTTTTCTCTACTTGTTCCCTCCCCACCTCTTCCTTTATCTCCAGTCTTTGTCCTTTATCTCTGCCCTCTGCCCCTCTGGGACAAATAGATCTCCTTTTTGTTGAGAACTTAGTCCTGGGGTGTCTTGAGCCAACTTCCAAGTCCCTACACTTTCATCATTCCTTTCTTCCATGTTTTCCTGTTATATGTTTACAGCTCTCTATGGTTTCTAAGGGTATTGCTTGTTTTACATTCCTGAGGCAGCAGCTGTAGCTAGAAGCAGGGATGACCATGATACAGATAGTTCTGTATTAGACACTTTCCTCAGGCTGTTTCCTCATCTAAGAATTTACAAAGCTGGACGACATCATGGTAAATGTCTCTATCCCCAATATTTGAGCTGCTCCAAAAGGATTATGAATTTGAGGCCAGCCTTGGCTACATAGTGGATTCCAAGCTAGCCTGGATTAAAGTGAATTCCTGTGTCAAAAACAAAACAAAACAAATTTACATAGTAACAAATGCCATTAAACTGTTTTATTTTCCAGAGGCACTTACCTCCATAAGTGAGAGATCCCCATCCTGTGACATATGCCACTGACCCATGGGTGACACTTTGGGTTGGCGCTGGGAGACACACCCTATGGATATTTCTGGTGAAGGTGACAGGTCTGTCAAGTAGCACAACTGCAATATCATTGTCACGAGTTATGAAGCTGTAACCATCATGGGCTAAAATAGCCCTTACTTTCACTCTTAATATAGGACGGACTGTAGAAATACCAAAGGTGGCAGTCCATCGTTGAGGATTAGAGTAGCTAAAACAAAATAAAATAAAGCAAATACATGCTATTAAATAGGGAATTCAACAGTAACTTGGCTTCTATTTTAATAATACTAGTTCTTTGAGAATTTCATGTGTTTTGTGTTTACCACCAACATCTCATTGATATGTTTCCCTGAACTATAATTTCACAATTGTATTAAACTCTTTCCTAGCAGCCTAAATTGTCATTTTATTCTAAATATACAGGGAAAATTGTTTCAAAAATGCATGTTGGAGTAATAAGTCATCTCGACTTTGTCTCGGCGAATGCATCCTAGCACATTAGTGGTCACGAATGTAGGGGATTGTTGTTTCTTCTCCTTCCTTGATGTTCTCATCTAAGCAGAAAAGGATTCTGAAATAGTTATCTTTTCTATTTGAACTAATTTTCTTTGATCTTTGCTTTTTTGTTTTGCTTTTGTTTATATTATTTTGAGAAGGAAGATCCATTCAAATAGTAGTGAGGTTGAGGGCTATCTTTATTGTTAATAGATGAATGAGTTTTCTGAATTAAAGATGATGCATGATATATATATATATATATATATACATATATATATACTGTGTGTATATGTGTAAATATGTGCACAGAGAGATAAGTATTATCTCTATTATCTATTAAAATGTAGGAAATTATTATTGTGACTTGAGAACTATAGAGCTTTTTTAGGTGTACCATAAAAAGACACATGTAAGGTAAAAAGTGTCAAGTGAAACCACAAGATAGTATTGGTAATGATTAATATTGGTAATGATTAATAACAATATGGAGCTTATACACACTGCTGTCACCATAAATTAAAAACATATATACACAAAAGTAACTCTATAGGTTTAATAGGTATATGAATATTTTAAAATATTTCAAATATATTAGGCCCAGTAAGGCTATTGAGTGGAACTAGGGCAGTTGGAAGTAGGATCCAAGAATGGGAAAAGAGAAAAAAATATACTATATGTAAGAAAGGTTTTTGTTGTTGTTGAGAGTTGTTTCGCTTGATATTGCTGCTCAGATTGAGATGCAAAATGCAATTAAATAATAATTTAAAAGTTTTCAGATAGTGGAATTAACATAAAAAATAAAAATTATGTGTGTAAAAAGTTCTTGATAACATGAGTGACATATGAGTCACTGATATAAGTGAACCCTAGTTCACCCTAGGCCACAGAGGAGGACTTTGCAGCCAGCCCTGAAGATACCTGATAAAACAGGGTCAGATGAAAGGGGAGGAGGTCCCCCCCATCAGTGGACTTGGAAAGGGGCAGGAAGGAGATGAGGGAGGGAGGGTGGGATTGGGAAGGAATGAGGGAGCAGGACACAGCTGGGACACAGAGTTAATAAAATATAACTAATAATAAAAATAAAAAATTAAAACAAAAAGAAAAAAACGCGAGTGACCTCTGAGTCACTGATATGAGTGAACCCTGGTCATTTAAATTAAGCGCTCTAGCATAAGATCTGCTTTTTTTTTTCTTTGCTATGATGGTGTACTGTCATTTGAAAAAGAGAGCTACCAGCAAACCATTAAGCTAAGGGAGAAAAACAAAACAAAACAAAACAAAACAAAACGATTATGCTTCCATGAATTAAAAAAGAAAAGACTCAGAAATATTTTCCATTGAATTATCACAGTGTCAATCCAATTATATTTAGCCCTAGGGACAGTGGGTGGAGACTCTATGTAGCTTCCTTTTCTAATTATTTACAGGTGGAAGAGAGTAGCTGTGGCCTCACCTTCGGAAGCAGTGAGCTGCTGTCAGGACCCATGAGTTACTGATCAGCAGGCCTCCGCAGTGGTGGACGTTATTGAGCTGTAGACTGACTTGCCAGGGCCAGTCACCTGTCTCAGCGAGTGTGCCTCCAAGGATTCTCTCTTCTGACAGGGTTATAAGGTCCGGACGGGCTCCACATTCTAACAACAACACCCAAAAGGTATTAGCATGCTAGCAAGCTGATGGTTGTTCCTATTTGGAAAATTACTGTGGAGAGTCTTCATCATATAACTTTATTTAAATACCTCAAGAAACCTACAAACCCTACAGCCAAACAAGTGGCAGAGCTGAGGAAGTTCTGTGGAAGAGTCAGCAGAAGGATTTAAGGAGCTTGAGGGGTCAAGCATACCACAAGAAGACCCGCAGAGTTAAGAAACCTGGTGCTTGGGGGCTCACAGAGATTGAACCACCAACCAAAGAGCTTGCATAAGCTGGACCTAGGCCCCTTATGTATATGTACATATATGCAGCAGATGTGCAGCTTCTTCATGAGGATCCCTTAACAATTGGAGCTGGGGGTGGGGTGGGGAGAGAGGATGGGAGAGTGCTGTCTCTGACTCTGTTGCCTGCCTTTAGATCCCTATTCCGTAGTTGGGCTGCCTTGCCTGCCCTCAGTGGAAGAGGAAATGCTTAGTCCTGCTGCTGCAACTGGTGTACCAGGGTGGGTTGGTACTCATGAGAGCCAGGAGAAGGGAAACAGAAAGTGGAGAAGGGGTGGGAGGATGGGACAGGAAGGAGAGGGGAATAACGTGAATAAATAAAAAATTAATGAAACGTAAGGAAAGAAAGGAAGGGAGGGAGGGAGAGACAAAGAGGCAGAGAGACAGAGACAGACAGAAACACACACACACACACACAGAGAGAGAGAGAGAGAGAGAGAGAGACAGAGAGAGAGACACAGAGAGAGACAGAAAGAGAGACAGAGAGTGAGGGAGAGGCCTACAAACATTTCAATGCCAGAGAGGAAGTGGACCTGGGTGGGTTGATTTGCTCAGTTCTTCTCAACCCAAAACTTATGACAGTTTTTCTCACATTTAGTCTAATATTTATTAGTAATACTAGATGTGTATCACAAATAATAATTTCTATTATGGGTTGGTAATAGGTTGATAACACTAAGCAGTTACTTTGTTACAAATTTCCCAATAGAAGAGGATTAATTAATTAAGAATATGCATGGACATGGGTTCCTTTCCTGCCTTTCCAAATAAAGTCCTTAGTAAGTATTTTATTAAAATACTTACTATTTTAATAGTAAGTTTTATTCAAAATAATTATAAATTAAACACAGAACTAAATTGAAAAATATATTGGAGTGGAGTATCACTATTTTTAAAAAGCTCTTAAGTATCTAAAATAAATCAGAAATTCAAGTATATGCAACTAATTTCTAACTACACTTGGCTGGTCTGAGAAACAAATTCCACATTTCTAGGAATGCTATGCCTGTCCTGCTAGCCTGAGAGTATATATGGAGTGACTTTGGAACACAATAACTTTCCCTTCAAGTTATAGGCCTTACACTGACAAGACATCTGTAATTTATTACCTCATGATTAACCCAACTCCTCAACAAAGCAAACCATTCTGCTGGTTCAAGAAAGCTACATAAATTTTGTCATCAAACATAATTTACAAGTCTCTAGAAACACAACAGGGACAAAGCTTCCAGGAGAAAATTGCCAGGAGCTTGATTCTGAGTGCCAAATAGTTTGTACATCACTACACTTGCATTTTTTTTTTTTAAGGAGGAGGAATTGCTTAAGAATATTTTATAGGCCAGTGTGAAAAGTAGTATCCATTTTCAACAAGAATCCTCCATAGTGAACTCAGAATGAAGGCACCCACTTCACAGATATGGCCTTGCCAAGAAGTTCAAAAGACTTGAACTGAAAATCCTTATAATTTTATAAATATTCACAAAATAATTTAAGAACTCACCTTGAGTCAAGAAATTTTCTGTATCCTGGTTAGTGATTGCTAGCATTAAAAAAGAAAGAGCGAGAATAAGATCAACAAAATGTAAGCTGAAAATCATTTCACCTTGATTTCGTGAAGCTTAGTACCAGGACAACCAAAAACACAGTCCTTGGGATGGTTTGCCAAAATTCAGATTACCGAGCTCCACCTCAAGCTTTTGGATATAACCTCTAAGTCATGTGACCCAGAAATCAATCTCTCTTTGAAGCTTTATCCCAGTTTGCTGTTGCACACAAACTATTGGAAGTTTGTACTTACATTCTTCATGAAATACTTAACAGACTTCCCTGCTCCAAAGTCATCCATTTCTCTTGTCAAAAGACAACTTAAGCAGTCATTAGAGTACAGTGTGATATCATATAGAAGAAGCTAATTGTTCATTTTTCAAACATAGCTGTGAGTAGACATTGGTATATGTTACTTTACTATTGCTATATTATGTACTGTTTCTTCAATAGGGATAGAAAACCAAAGTCTCTCTTAATAATTATTTCTAGACTGATGCTAACCAAAATATTATTCAAATGAAAAGTTAAAGTGGAGCAAAGGATAACAATACCAGAAGAGTCAGAGATGTCATCATGAAGGAAATAACATTTGCACTATATGTTGAAACTCTAACAAATGGTTCATGAAGACAGAAGGAAAAAGACATTCTAAATGGAAGGTAAACTAGCATCTATGTTCCCAGATGTCAGATGTGTGTTGTGAAATAGTCAGTAGGCTGGTATATGTGTCACATGCAGGGTTGTTTAGAGTGCTAGGGAAGACTACTATACCAAGCCTCAGCTTCCATCTTTGACCTGTTTGCCTTCAAAATCAATACCACCTAGTAGACTCTTACATATTATCAACTTCATCTGCCAGAACAAAATATAATGTTAGCCTGCTCTGGACCTCGGTTTCAGTGTGATGACCCTAAGGAAACACTTGCTAGAAGATTTCTTCTCAATGATACTGGCCTCTTGGTAATCATAGCCAATCCTTCAACCCTAGTTCACTAGAACCACAGATTTTTAATTCAAAATATTGAATGACCCCAATAGAGTTTTTAAGGGCAGCTTAAAGTTGCTTCTGAAACGTCAAAACTATGCCACCATTCTCTGTACTACTCTCAACATTATATTGTCAGTTGCCGTAATAGATCATTTTGCTCTGAATGCTCAATGGCTTTTCCAGCCTAAAGTGCCAAAGTCACAATTAAACTCCAAACCAATCTCAGGTCTATCACAAAAATACGCCATGAACTTGCTAATATATATTTTATTGTATTAACTAAGTTCTATTATTGTGATGAAATATCATGACAAAAAGTAACTTGAGGAGGACAAGGTTTATTTCAGTTTACGGACTCCAAACCATAGTTCATCACTGGGGGAAGCTAGGGCAGGAATTCAAGGTAGGAACATAGCGGCAGGAACTGAAGCAGAGACCATGAAGGAGGTTTACGTTCTGGTTTGCTTCCCCTGAGCTGATCAATTTGTCTTTTTACACTCCAGGACTATTTCCCAAGGGTAGCAGAACACAGCAGCCTGGGACCTGCCATATCAATCATAACTAAAGAACATAACCCACAGACTTTCTTGCAGGCTGATACTATAGAAACCTTTTCTCAGTTGGGTTTCTGCCTCTCAGATGACCTTAGCTTGTGTCATCAAGCAGACAAAAATCTAGGCAGCAAAATGTCCATCAGTAATTTGAAGATGGACATGAATGATTAGTAAATAAGCCTAGTGGAATATTATGTAGAAATAAAACAACAAAGTTATGTTATTTGAAACAACATAGCACAGGAAAGCATTGTGCCTAGTAAGAAGTCAAGCACAGAATAACAAATACCTCCTGTACTCACTTGTATGTGGAAACTAAAATGTTAAACTTAAAGAAGTGGAGAACAGGCTAGTTTTTTTTTTTTTTTCATCTGCTTCTATAAGGAGTGTTTGGGAGAGAAGAACAGAGAGAGAAAGGACAATGAGCTGGCAGGTATGTGTTGATAGGAAGAATTACTTTTCATACTCTATATTTTTAGTGAACTATAGTTGACAACAATAAATTTTTTTGAAGTATAATTTATTATTATTATTTTTTATTATTAGTTACATTTTATTAATTGTATCCAGGCTGTATCCTGCTCCCTCATTTCCTCCCAATCCCTCCCTCCCTCCCTAATCTCCTTCCTGTGCCTCTCCAAGTCCACTGATTGGGGAGGACATCCTCCCCTTTCATTTGACCCTGTTTTATCAGGTATCTTCAGGACTGGCTGCAAAGTCCTCCTCTGTGGCCTAGCAGGACTGCTCCTCCCTTGGTGGGTGGGGAGGTCAAAGAGCCTGCCATTGACAACAATAAATTAATATTTAAAAATATTTAGCAGAGAAGACTTTAAATTCCCTGGAATAAAGAACTGTTGAATGTTTGAGGTTTGAGAGTTGTCAGTTTCTTATCTAATCAATGTACAACATATATATATATATATATATATATATATATATATATATATATATGTGTGTGTGTGTGTGTGTGTGTGTGTGTATATATATGTATATGTATATATATACATATATATACACATATATTAAAATGTCTCTGTAACCCATATATAAGTATATGTAAAATATTTTTTAAGCATTTTTGTTTATTTCTAAAGTTTTTTCATAATACATTTTTATAAAATTAAAAACTTAAAAAAGACATTTTCACATTTTTTCCTTAAGCAGATTGGAGATATCAGTCAGGAATTATGTTTCCCATTTTACAAAGATCAAGTGAAGCCATAAGTCCTTTCAGATTCCAAACTCTAAAATTCACTGCTATAGGAACAGCCTTAAAGAAATTACCTAATCAATTTCAGAAAGAAAATGAATAAGTTTTTCTTTTGATCATGTTATGTCATTCGATGCAGGACTCAAAACAGAACAGAAAAAAGACATGCTAAAATAAGCTAAAATTTATTGCCCTTGCATGGACACTAGAAAATAGATCTCTTCCCATGTTACAACTTCCTGACCAGAACACCTACAGCACAGGCTCTAAGATCAACAATCAATAAATAAGACCTCATGAAACTGAAAAGCTTCTGTAAAGCAAAGGACACTGTCATTAGAACAAAATGACAGTCTACAGACTGGGAAAGGATCTTTACCAACCTTATATTTGACAGAGGGCTAATATCCAGTATATATAAAGAACTAAAGAAGTTAAAAAGCAACAAATCAAGTAATCCAATTAAAAAATGGGGTAGAGAGCTAAACAGAATTCTCAATAGAGGAATATCAAATGACAAACACTTAAAGAAATACTCAGTATCCTTAGTCATCAGGGAAATGAAAATCAAAACAACTCTGAGATTTCACCTTACACCCATCAGAATGGCTAAGATCAAAAACTCAAGTGACAATACATGCTGGAGAAGATGTGGAGAAAGGGAAACCCTCCTCCATTGTTGGTGGGAATGTAACCTTGTACAAACACTTTGGAAATCAATCTGGCTCTTTCTCAGACAACTAGGAATAGTGCTTCCTCATGATCCAGCTATACCACTCCTAGGCATATATCCAAAAGATGCTCAAGTACACAACAAGGACATTTGTTCAACCATGTTCATAGCAGCTTTATTTGTAATAGCTAGAACCTGGAAACAACCCAGATGTCCCTCAGTTGAGGAATGTATACAGAAATTGTGGTACATTTACACAATGGAATACTACTCAGCAATTAAAACAAGGAAATCATGAAATTTGTAGGCAAATGGTGAGAACTAGAAAAGATCATCCTGAGTGAGGTATCCCAGAAGCAGAAAGACACACATGGTATATACTCACTTATAAGTGGATTTTAGACATATAATATAGGATAAATATACTAAAATCTGTACACCTAAAGAAGCTAAGCAAGGAGGAGGACCCTTGGTAAGTTGATCAATCCTCATTCAGAAAGGCAAACAGGACAGACATTGGAAGAGGGAGAAAACAGGGAACAGGGTAGGAGCCTACTACAGAGGGCCTTTGAAAGACTCTACACTTCAAGGTATCAAAGCAGATGCTGAGACTCATAGCCAAACCTTGGGCAGAGTGCAGGGACTCTTATGAAAGAAGGGAGAGATAGAAAGACCTGGAGGGGACAGGAGCTCCACAGGAGAGTAACCGAACCAAAAATTCTGGCACAGGGGTCTTTTCTGAGACTGATACTCCAACCAAGGACCATTCATGGAGATAACCTAGAACCCCTGCCCAGATATTGCTCATGACATCCCCGTGTTCAAGTGGGTTCCCTAGCAGTGGGAACAGGGACTGTCTCTGATATGAACTGATTTGCCTGCTCTTTGATCACCTCCCTCTGAGGCAGGAGCAACCTTACCAGGCCACAGAGGAAGATAATGCCACCAGTCCTTTTGAGACCTGGACCTGATAGGCTATGATCAGATCTTCCTCCCCTATCAGTAGATTTGGGGAGGGGCATTAGAGGAGAAGAGGTAGTGAGAGTGGGGTTGGGAGGGATGAAGGAGGGGGCTATAGCTGGGATACAAATTGAATAAATTGTAATTAATAGAAAAATAAATACATTTTAAAAAAGAAAGAAAAGAAAATCAAATCTTTAAAACATTTATAGCTAGTAAAAAGTAAAAATGAGAATTCTAACATGCTTTGTGTTAGAGAGCTAAATATTATATTTAGAATTGTACTACAGTTTTGATAGTCCAGTTATAAAGAACGAAGTGACTCTCATTTTGTTAATATGTGGATTGGAATGGGTAAAATTGAAAGGTATATTAAAAGGAAAAGTCATAAAAATGGTACTTGCATGTGATCTCATTGGAAGGAGTTATTTCCAAGTTTCCTGAGTTACTCAACCTTTGTAGCACAGATTGAATCCTGGTTTTCATTGATCTTCTAGTGTTATGTTTATTAGATCGAAATTTCATGACAACATCTGCAACCACACCATTCCCTTCTTTCCTATAAATCATAAAAACACAAACTTTTGGTAATTTTGTACTGCTTATGTAGCCATCTTGATTAAACCATTTTCAAAGAACTCATATGAGAACATGTTTGTGTAACAGTGCAAACTTAAGGATATATCACAATGCTATCTCTCTCATTTGATTTTAACACAACTCACTGCAATCACCATGCAGCACAGCCAGCTTTGAAGTCAGGATGCTATCACCATGTGACTTCTTGTAAACTAAGTTTCTTAATACATTGTGTCTAAATATCTTACTGTTTTAATTTTTTGTAAACATTATGTGCATAAAATTGATATAGAACTTTTGGAAAAATGTATCAAAAACACTAGTATTATCTGTTACTGGAGTTCATCAACTTGAGACAAATATTTATTGTCCTAAATAATTGAACTCCATCGAAATCATGAATCAAAGAGGAAAAAACCCTGCCCATCATAAAGACAAGATTTATCTCTTTTCAAGGCTCAGCTGTGAATGGGGAAAAAAAGATTCCTTTCCTGATAATTTGAAATCATGAGCCTGGCTATATAATGTTTGTGTTTTTATTGATACTAGTTACTTATTCTCAGAATCTTTAAGGTGTTAACAAGCTAAAAATGGTAAAAGAATGAGTACCTTAAAGTGTTCCACACAGATCACCAAAGAAATGATTAATTGTTTAAGAAGAAATTATAAATATAAGAAAAATCAGAGGGCCTCTGAACGACTCTGCTGATCGAGGTATTAAAGCAGAGGCTGAGACTCATAGTCAAACTTTTGGCAGAGGGCATGGAATTTTATGAAAGAAGAGGGAGATAGGAAGACCTGGAAGGGAGAGGAGCTCCACAAGGAGAGTAGTAACAGAGCCAAAAACAAAACAAAAACAAAACAAAACAAAACAAAACAAAACAAAAACCCCTGGGGGCCCTGCAGAGACTGATACCCCAACCAAGGACAATGCATGGAGAAGACCTAAAACCCCTGCTCAGATGTAGCCCATAAACTCAGTCTCCAAGTGGGGTCCCTAGTGAGGGGAGCAGGGGCTTTCTCTGTCATGAACTCAGTGACAGGCTCTCTGATCACCTCCCCCTTTGGGGTGCAGCCTTGCCAGGCCACAGAGGAAGATAATGCAACCAGTCCTGATGAGACCTGATAGGCTAGTGTCACATAGAGGGGGAGGTCTACCTCCCCTATCAGTGGACTAGGGGAGAGGCACATGGGGAGAAGAGGGACCACAGCCGGAATACAATATTGAATAAACTGTAATAAATGATAATAATAAAAAAGAAAAAAATTATTAAAAAAAGAAAAATGGAAGATTTTATTCCCTTAAAAAATTAGGTAAGTGGAGTGTTGTGGTTCTTGCCTGTAATCACAATGTTCTGGAGGTTGAGGCAGGAGAATTGAATGAATCTGAGGCCATCTCGGGCTGTAAAGTAAGACTTGTCTCAACAAAGCAAAAAGTTCAGGTAAAGCTTTGTAGATAGGAAGTAACTTCACTGAAATAATAGCTTGACAAGTCATTTACAAACAATGTTGTAAAGAAATTCAGTTAACCGAAAGGTGGGTATGATGAAGTTACAGAGACTAACAACAGATGAAGTAATAAACAAGATCAAATAAACATTAAGAGACACAGGGACATTCAGTGCATACTGAAGTAACAGTAAAGACGAGCACAAACAAAACAAACTATAACGCTGGTTGGCCATTGAGCTCTTCCTGCCTCTTCCTGGAATTGTAGGGATTTGACAACATGCCCATTTCTTATAAACATAAATTCTAGAGAGTCAAACTCAAGTTCTCATGCTTGCCTGGCAAGCAGTTTACTTGCCCTGTCTCCCAGTCTGTGGTCTTTATCTTGAATCGACCATACCACATCTTTGCAGTGACTTCCTATGTCGTTCAGAATAAAGTCTACAATCCTTGGCCATGACCAACAATGCCTGCACTTGCTTTTGTCTAGATCTTGGATTATGATCATTTACCTTGACTCCATTATATCCTTACAGGCATCCTTGCTGTTGTTTGAATCTGTGCATATCACCATGTGAAAAGTTCGTTATTTTTAAAGCTCATCTTCGTACATACTTATCAATAGGTAAATAAATGTAAATGTAATATAGTAAACATCTCGTATTTAATAATGGTAAGTTAGTGCCATTACAATGGTTTAATTAAAGGACTAGTGTGCTTGAATTTTTGCTTAAAACAATGTTTATGTTTGATATGTTCAGTGGAGCAAGACTAGTGGTAAGGCAAGGCATTTGGAGACTGTTATAGTTCAAGAGGGTGAAGGACGATTGCATTACATTAAAAGTTATGGAGCTGGGAGGTATTTCAGTGGTCAAACTTTAGGACCAGGCAATTTGGTATGTGGGTCTGAGGGCGAGTCAATAATTGAAGCTAACTCACAGATTTCTTTCCTAAGCAACTCGTTGATAGTGATGCCAAACAACTGAGATGGACATTGCTGGTAGTCTAATATACGTGATTGAGGTGACTGGATAGGTATGGTTCTCTGTATGTTAAGTTGTCTAAAAAATGCTTGTGTGTATTTATATCTGTGGATGAAGAATCACCATGTAAGAGATACAACTTCAAGATTAATCTACAGATAATCAGCAGTGGCCATGGAACCACTGAAAGGAAAGAATGTGTGCTGACATATGTGGCTCACGGTACACATTCATGTTCAACATGTGAGGAATGTACTAGAGAGAGCAAAGGAAAGAGAGAGCATATCTAGATGGATAACAGGGTAATCATCGATATGTAGAGTCCTAGGAGCCTGGGAATGGAATTTCGACAACAAGCCACCATTGCCAAATGGTGCTCAGAGTTTCAAGAGTAGAACTAAAGTGATATATATATATATATATCACTTTATATATACTAAAGTGATATATACTAAATATATACTAAAGTGATATATATATATATCACTTTAGTATATATTTCATATATACTATATATATTATATATATATATTATATATGTATGTATATGTATATTTTGATTTTGTGATGTGGATGCTGTTGATGAAATTGGCAAGAACACCTTGTATTTTGGAGTGTGTTCAGAAGACAGGCCACAGTGGCTTAGTGGCAGTGGGAAGTTAACAAATGGAACAAAAATGTAGTAGCTTTTTAAATCTTCTCCAGTTTTTGTCTTAAAACTTTGAGCATTACAAGCTAGTACAAATACAACAAAGCACCCAAAGGAATGCACATTGAACAAGTTAGAAATGTCTTTTGTACTCTTCCCATAGTTTCTTCCTTATCCTCTAATTCTTCATCAAAATTCAATTTAGCTATAAGCTGCTTACTTTGTGATTACTTTATATCTTTTTTTGCATACTAAAGAGTTTTCACATTGTCATCTGAAGGATTGAGCAATGTGGGCAGTTAAGACATTTCTGGGCTTATTACTCAGTGTAACTGTTTCCATTGGAAAAGCTTCTTTTATCACATCACAAGAATACATAGTTACTAAGGCATTAGTAGCAGATTCTGGCAAAGCCAGCATACTACAGACTTGTCATCGACATTCCAGGCAAGTGAAGTCAAAACTTAATTCTGGTGTTGGCATGGTATGCTGATCTTGGATGAGTACACTCCAAGTATTGTACAAATCAAGAAGGGACTATCTACCTAGACTGCATTATGATATGCAGAGGATTTAGACAGTAGCATCGGCTTGATTACTGTTCTCTCACAGTAGCTTTTCCTGTAGTCTTTCTTCTTTCTCCCATTAAGAATAAAGTGACATGGTTATTTATATCAATCAATCAATCAATAAATAATGCATTTTCCATTGTCTTTTAGGCTGCCTCATATCTTACTATTTTTATTTTTATGTTATTAGAACAATTACATGAACATGTCATTTAATATCCATAGTGCAAACAGAAGTCAAACATTCTAAATTACGTGTTTTCAAATATAGTTTTGGTAAGATTTCACTCACCTCAGTTTGACAACATGTGTTCTGATAAACTCACTTCTTAGATTTGATTTCTGAAATGCATTAGTAATCTGCAGAAATGAAATGGGAAAATAATCTCACACTCATTGCAGTTTTTCCTTTTTATTTTAATGACTGTAACATGGGGCTTATATAATAATAAGCAGCAATTTATCAGGTGAGGACAGGTCGGTTTTGTTACAGATAACATAGAACCAATATAAACAGATGGTATAACCTTCTGATATGGTTCCTATTTTGTAGTTATTAAAAAGAGATGACCTGGACAGGGCTTGTCTTTAATACAAGCCATTCTAATACATCAACTGTTTACTCTATGAGCCCTTACAATATATGATTTGCTAGCTGTGAATCAGGAAGTTGGGATAAGACTCAAGTCAACACTAGGGAACACTTTTCATACAACTCTTGATATGTGTGTGGTGTACAATGACTATATTTTAAATGAATGAAATCAGCAGATTTCACTTTTAGCATTTGCTGACATTTTCTTGACCTTACAACCTATTTCCCAGTAAAGGTAGTTGTACAGGGTATAAAATTCAGTTTCACAGTTAACAAGGACTACTTTATCAGAGTTCTCCTGAGGAGCAGGATTGGTACACTGTGGTTTCATAATAGAGAGTGAATTGATTTCACTTATGAGTTTGCTCACACTCTTGTGTATGTCAACATGAGAAGACAGAATGAGGAATTAGGCATGTGCTGAAAATTATGTTTATCAGGATTTGGAGTCAACTTTTTTTCAGTTGATAATATTTATGTGATTCTATAATACTATATCTTTTAAATATCAGTTCCTATTAGCAGATTAAAAGCAAAATGATTGATATGAAAAAATATTTTTATAGAGACCTAAATTTTCCTTAAAATAGTGAAACTGTTGACCTTATTAAAATAATTTGTTTAATTTATAAAATTAAAGAAATAGAATAACTATCATGAATAAAAGCTAAAGTCACTAAATTATATAGTCTAATATGAACTCTTTCTGTAATTTATTGATCATTATTCCAGTTATTTATATAAAAAGATATTCGTTACAATGTTTAAGTACCCCAGTTATCAGACTATTAAAATGACTTAATTATTATATTTATTTGGTTTTGCAACCTGTTTTATTGATTTCTTTTTTATCACATAGGGAAAAACCGAGAGTGAAAAAGAAAGAATTTTGTTATTATCCTCATGATCGACAGTTTCAATAATCTTTTCATATTACAGAATATTCTGGAATATTCACCCAGTCACATTCATGATTTTTAAGGACTAATATGAATTGTATGTCCTTTTAGTAAATTCCAACAAATTAAAACATAAGTGACGATCATTATACATATTAATTTAGTAGGTCCTATAAAAGCATTGCCAATAAAATTAAAGTATAATTGTCACATTTTTTGCTTTTAGAAGGGAAACACTGTAGTAGTTGCTTGTGTGTTCTGTAAATCTGTTATTTGACAGCTGCAGTGTTTTCTGCTATCTGTTAGGTGAATAGTAGAGATAATGTTCTGTGGTCTTCTTTACTATCCATTATCACATTTTGCCACCTTCTTGAAATTCAAAGATTTAGAAAGCTCGGTTTTCAAGGAAGAAAGGAAATAAGGTGTGTGGTCAGATGATCTTTCTACTGTGACACTGGTCTGCAAGTGTAAATGTGTGAGTGTTAACTTCTCTTTTCTGAATGGGAAATGAGGGAAAGTGGATCTCTGTGGGAGGTGAGGTGGACAGGGAGCTGGGAAGAGTGGAGGGAGTACAAACTGTAATAAAGATGCATGAGAGAATAATCTATTGTCAATAAAGATGATAAAAAATTTAAAAATCACTAAAAAATTTCAGTTTAAAAAATAAAGCAAAAATTTACTGTATTTCTTTATTTTGTTCTCTAGCTTTCAGCAGCTGGTCCTTTATTCATTTCTTTTTAAAAACAGGTCCGAGAATTCATACTTCTCTGATCTCAGTCTCCCAGTGTATTCCCCTTGTCTTGGTACAGGAATGGTGCTATGCATATTTGAAGAAAATAATATTTATTGTTTGCAGAAACCTATTGCATCTTGTTTCTTTTTTGTCATTCTTTTTTAATTTTTTATTTTTAATTATACTTTATTTACTTTGTATCCCCCCTCTAGTTCCCTCCCTCCTCCCCTCCCAATCTCTCTCTTCCTCCCCCTTCTCCACACACTCCCTTCCCCAAGTCCACTGGTAGGGGAGGGTTTCTTTTTCTTCCTTCTGATCCTAGTCTGTTAGGTCTCATCAGGAGTGGTTGCATTGTCTTCCTCTGTGTCCTGGTAAGGCTGCTCCCTCCTCAGGGGTTGGTGATCAAAGAGCAGGCCACTCAGTTCATGTCAGAAGCAGTCCCTGTTCCCATTACTATGGAACCCACTTGGACACTGAACTGCCATGGGCTACATCTGTGCAGGGGTTCTAGGTTATCTCCATGCATGGTACTTGGTTGGAGTATGAGTCTCAGGAAAGACCCCTGTGCTCAAATTTTTTGGTTCTGTTGCATCTTGTTTCTACTGAGAAGTGACCACTCATATTTACAGCCATGACACCTGGTTTGAATTTCAGTTCTTTCCATAAGTACTTATTTTTCTAAAGAGGAAGAATATGTGTGTATTAACTCTGAAAATCTTACAACAAAAACTCAAGGAAAATTTTAAAATATTAAATATATGATCCAGATACAGTACTTTAAATATAGTTTAGTAACGATATAGGGGAAAAGATTGATCAGTGGAAGAAAGTAGATGACAGAAGAAAGAAAAGGGAGAGTTTAACATGTGATAAAGGTGACAACACTATATATATCATTTGCACCAAAAGCTCCAGCTGACCAGACAAAAAAAAAAAAGATAAATGAAAGAATTTAGAGATCTGTTAAAAAAGGAATATTTAAATGAAATATTCTGTACTTATCTACTCAATATTTTAAATGGTGTATTTCTGAACCATTAATAGTCCAAATTAAGTATTTTTTTTAGGAAAAGAAAGCAATAGCATATTTTTGATTAGACTGTAATAAAGGCATGTATGTTTGTGTCTGTAAGTTGGATTTGCATATGAAGGTATATTACACCGTGAGATGGTTAGTAATAGATGAGAACCACTGTTAGGCTTTTATGCATATTTTCTTCTTTACATTTTATGTGTATCCTTAAGTTTACATATTTGTAGAATCTTAATAAAAACACTAAATCAGTTTTATTTTAATGAAAGAAGATATACACATATATTGTGATTTAAAATGAAAATAATTCAAGAATGTCAAGGCTTAATACTGTGTCCATATGTATGCATGTATGTATTCTGGTGACATTAAATATTCTGCAAAGATATATAGAATTTCTTTTTCTCCCATGTCCATTTATATTTCGGAATATATGCTATTTATTATGCCATTTTTTCCCTTTGCTGTTAGCTGCTCTCAGTTTTGTGTGTGCTCTAATAAGGTTGAGCTGACCTCACATATCTGACCTAATCCATCTGGAACTGAATGACCCCATAAGGACATCTGTTGGGTTAGTAAGAAGCTGGGTCCTGATCTCCACAGTGCAGCTGGATCCTTTCAGTATGATATCTTTCTGGTTTCATTCGTGCATTTAGCTAAGTGCATGCTGAAATACTACATGGTGTTGTGTGGATGCGAAGACTTCTTGTGTGCAACTGTTTATGACTGTCTTGAGGTATGGATCTCTGATAGCTCCAAGAACTTTTGGATGTTCATGGCTTTGAGCACCAAGAAGATTATTTCCTAGGACAAATAATGTAAATAAATTCTATATTTATTTTTTAAAGAACATATTGAATAGATAAAGCAGAGAGTAAGGGAGTATTGGTTTGTTCAAGGTGAGGCACAGTTTTTGGACTCTTAGTCCTTTGTGTTATGTAATGCTCCTGGAAACATCTTGGATTAGGTTGGGATTATTGTGTTATGCATGACAGCATTTTAGTGTAGGTCTGATTTGTTCACATGAAACAAAGACATTTAACATACCTACTGTTACTCCAGAATATTTAAGTACCAAATTAGTTCATCTTTGTATTGTATGTGTTGGAATGTTTTATTTAACAAATGTTGTTTATATTGTCAGCTAGAGGTTCATTAAAAAAAAGAAAATCAAATAAAATTTTGGCTTGAGAGTGAGAGAATTTCCAATTTAAAACCGTCTCTGTACTGACTAGTTTTATGTCAACTTGACACAAGGTACAATC